TTTTTTTTTTATAAAATATACATTAAGTAAAAAAATAAAAAAGTCAAATGGAAAATGTCTATGTCACTTCCTTAGCTGACGTCCTACCTCAAGACACAGGAAGATGCACACACTCCAATGCACTGCTCTCTTCTCCCCATTCCTCCAACACACACTCTTGCATTCACCTTTTTATAGAACTCTCCACAGGCGCTGTGTGGAAACGCATGTGTGCTTGTTGTAGAACTGTTATAAAACACAACGAAGGCCAAGAGAATTAACATCATGTTTGTTTTGCTGCTGGTTGTTTTCATTAAGAACATTAATACAATTCCTGTTTTATTTTGTATTTGCAATTTGCATTTTGCTTGTTCGTACCGTAGTCTCATACAAACAAGCTAGCTTTGTTTAAAACTGTGAAAGGACTATTCTGCGAGACTGCAGCATCAATGGCGAGATTAAAAGCTCATTTGTATTTGTATGTTTTATTTTGTATTTGCAATTTGCATTTTGCTTGTTCGTACCGTAGTCTCATACAAACAAGCTAGCTTTGTTTAAAACTGTGAAAGGACTATTCTGCGAGACTGCAGCAGTTTGAGATTTTTGCTGTGTGTTCATCTAATTGACCAGCAGATGGAGTGGATATGGGTTCAGATTCCAATTCGCAACACACATATGTGACGGCAGCTGAAACACACACACATGTAGCCCACATACACAGGTTCACATACACACAAACACACAAGCATACACATTCATTCATTTATAGTGGAGAGGACTTTGATGGTTGGACTGATAGTAAAACAGGCATTGCAGCACACAGTGGGAAGGGTTTCAATGTAAGCCAGATTGTACCATATCAGGATCAAAGACATCTACATCTTAAACATTCAATACTCATCAAACTATTACAATCACTCCACTTACTAAATGAGAGGCAGAGAGAGAGAGAAAGCAGGTGATAGCACAACCTCGGTTTGTTTTCGTCTCTTCGCTATCCCTTGTTCCCACAGGAACAGCTTGACAGTTTGGATGTGAATATGACACACACACACACACACACAGAGACGGCGTCCCACACAGGTGCTGCCTTGCATGAGGCCCATACCCGACATCAAAAGGACACCTTTGACATTTCAGATCGCTCCCAAACGATGATGCACAGGGATCTTTTGCCACTACAAAGAAAGAACAAAAGAACAGACATGAAAGAGAAGTTAATAAACATATGGCAATTAATAAAACATTTTTCTACTGAATTCAGTACAAAGACTTTTTTCCACAAGCAGAACGCATCAAACCAATAGTTGATTTAGTGCTGATGAAAAAGTGTGTCTGCGCTACTACGGTTTGTCATGCCACAGAGATGGACAGTTAGAGGTTATGGAGTAATGTCACTCAGAATGGTTTGCCCTAACATGTCAGAGACATCTTTGGATACACAGTTGGAAATTATTTTGATTTATACAAACCGTTTCTGACTGTACGTGTGTGTGTGGATCAGGTTTTGCTTACGTTATGGGGTCCAAATGTCCCTACAAGGATAGCAAAACCTGAAATCAGCTATTGTGTGGAACAGCAGTTTCTGTGAGTGTGAGAGAGAAATAGAGCAAGACACAGAGAGTGACTGAAATGAATATGTTTTATTAGTGTTCAGAGCATACGAATCTCACAAAAGATGGAAAACAATGGGGAAAATCTGGAGCTAGAGCACAGTCTTTGTTTTCATTTTGTTTTGTTTTAATGAGTTTGAATGTGCATATGTGTGTGTTTGCATTGAGAATAACACACATGCACACAGGACATGGTGAATATTCTAGGACTTGCATACATCCTCTCTTTGCCAAGCGCCACCCCTCAACCCCTCCTTTTCCAACTTCTTTCATTGTAAATCTGTCTAATGGTGCACCTAGGGACCGGAGTCTCCCTCCTGAGAGACACACATTGTGTGTATGAGGGTGACTGCATGTCAGACAGCACATGAGACCTCCTATTCACATATTCCTTTAAATGTAATTAACTCCTCCCCCTCAGTCTCACCAATTACACACTGACACAGGCCCTCAACACAATGCGAGGATGAAGCGGAGAATGAAAAAGGGAAAAAGCATGGGAACAAAGTGCGCTTGAATATGCGCAGGGTCTGCAGTGATGCACCTGTGACTTTCTATCTACTTTATTTTCATTAGAAAAGAAAGCTCTGTCTTTATTTACAGCTCTCTTATTACCACTGCTTTTTCATTTCTGAACCTGAAAGATTGCAGGCCTGCATAGTTTTATTGATTGTAAATCTACTCAAATAGATTCACAAAGTCAGCAACAGCACTGAAAACTGCTTCACTTTCACTCAGCTTCTGCTTCTTATGTCTTTTTTGCGATCATGAAAATGGGCACCACTGGTGTTAAATATAACAGTAGAACTATATACTCATTGTAAACATGACAAGTTATTTATTTATTTGTTTAATTAATTTTTTTAAGTTAAATGTTGACATGAATGTATGAGGAAAAGTGTATTTTTAGACGACTTGTTATTATTAAAGGAGTAATTCACCTCAAAAATGAACAATTATGTCATCATTTACTCACCCTCATGTCGTTCCAAACCTGTATAACTTCATTTGCACTATGGAACACAAAAGAAATGATTTTGATGAATATTTAAACTCATTTAATGAAAGTCGGCGAGATCTAAAAGATCACTGGACCGTGCTAACTCTCAATGTGTGGACAAAAAACACTGGGACTTTTTCTTTTAAATATAATATCTAAAATATGCACTTTTCTTTGAACATATACATTTCAATCATTTTTAGGTTTTATAATAATTCTAAGTAATTATTATAAAAAAAGTTTTAATTCAATTAAATTATTAATTATAATAATGATATGTATTATAAATTAATAATAATAATGAATGTTTTCGCTATTTTTTATTACTTTCAGCAGTTTACTTGAACAATGATGTGACAAATGAATGAATCATGCAGTGAATATGAGTTCATAAAAATGGCATGTTAAATAATTTCATTTTACAGAATTAGAGAAACAGCACTACCAAACACCAAGTAGCATCTTCCAAGAACACTGTTTGTGTGTGTGTTTCTTAACTCTCAAGACACTGATCAGTGTGTGTGTGTGTGTGTGTGTACATATGTGTATAGTTGAATGGCACAAGTCAGTGCAGCACAATGGCCTCACTAAAGCCGCCTTATCTACGCACAATCAGATTAGAGAGGGATTGAAGCGTGGCTAAGCACTACAGCGCACAAGCACCAAGGATCAAGATGATTTGATTAATATTCCTGATCGTGTTATCCTTTAAGCAGCATAAATTGTTTTATTCTTATTTATTTATTTTCTCCTTTTAACTCACTGAAGCTGATTTTCAAGATTGCCTCACCTTTATCTATGATTGTCTCCTCACAACTTTAAACAACTCACACACACACTCTCTGCCGACACATTATCCGCCTGCAGGGTCACAGACCCACACTCAAACACACACCGCATCATTTCCTGCTGCCACCAGACGGGGGTGCCCTGCTGCACATATAGTGAGATACACAAACACACAAGTACAAGGTCACTCGCTCACCTACACAACTATTCTAAACATGCAAATCAGCAGAGAGAGCGGGAGAGGAGGATAGAAGGAGAGGAGAGACTGACAGAGACAGAGAGAGAAGGAGGAGTGGGACAGGGTGGGGGTCTGGAAACAGGTCAAGCTAATCATGCATATAATTGCATTTTGACATTGGGGGCTACTGGGACCAGACCTTTGAAGATCAGGTTATCCTGGAAGCACTTAAGTGATTAACAAATGAAAACGCTGCTCTAAACTTAATTAGGTACGATATTGGGCCGTGCTGGGCAGAGGGCCTGGGGAGAGTTGCGTTTCCCCTCTTCATGGACACTCAGCACCCCGTGTAAAATTAAATCAAATGGCACATTTTACACTGCCGTTCCCCTGTGAGTTAAAATATCTCACCCACAGCTGAGACCACAGTCACTCTGTCATTTAGTTGTCCCAGCAACACTGACACGAGTTTAAACCAGCAAGACATGATGCCACACATGGAATTTTACAACTGTCTTAGCCACCAGGGTCCTCAGCCTCATAGTGCTCAGGATAAAGCCAGTGT